AAATGGACTGATGGAGGTTATGCATTCTGACAAACATTTTAAATGAAATACAAAGTCATTCATTTTAGGGATTCGCGAAGATTATTGAGTGCAGACTTCTGAGAAATATTTGTAGGAAAACAAATCATGTTGCCAAAGCTTTGAATGCGCAAATATACAGTTCAGATTATCATGTAAATCGTTCTTTTTTCTAGAGATCTGATCGTGCCACCCTACAATTATCAAGGCACAAGAGCGAAACCTTTCATCGAAGTAGCAAGTACCTCAAAATAAAAGGGGGATTCCGACACGAAAACCACAAGCCTGACTACGGATAGGGTTGTTTCTAAGCGTCTATTTACTATCGGCAGTGCATAATTCTCTTGAGTGGCAATGAACAATGACCATTTGGCGGTTTAGGTAATTAATCTAACCAAGTCGAGGAGTGTAGGCTCGCGTATCAGAGGATTGATAATGCAGTGCAAGTTTCTTAGTGAGTTGATTTATCAATCACAGGTAGCGAATAAAAGTGATATAATCCTTCTGGAGCTCGAATAGGACTCAGGTTCAAGCAAATAGTGATATTCGCGAGATTCAGCACCATTTGCTTCGACTTTATGCTCTTCTTCTGCACTAGCTGGTATTGCTTCTACATAAGAGACCAATTATGCAATCGCTATACAGTTTGAAAGAAAGAAATTGCAAAAGAAGCCTTAAATGGGTCAGACGCTAAGTTATATTATTGTCAGAATATGAATCCCGCCTAAATTCACAGTTTTTCTCTCATCCAACCTAAGTAATGGGAGGATAATTGCAAAAAAAAAAACATTCCATTCCAGGCTGCATTAGATCTGACGACTAGGGAAGAATGAGGCAATCTGTATTCTCGAAATTCTAAACTGATTACACAAAATGCGATCCGAACCATAGACTTTCGTACGTGCTAACCGCACAAATGAAAGATCTGGAAGCATGATAGATAAATTGACGTGGTCTATGGTATCGTGTTCAAACATCTGGAACTTAAGGAAGTGCAAAACGAGAAAAAAAGTACTGCAGTCCCAAAACCTCCTGAACTACAAACAAATGCGCCAGAAATAAAAATTCTACAAAAGCTTGCCTTGGAACGAGTAAACGTGTCGTCCTCCATAACTATGAGCTGAAGAGTAAACAAAATATGTTTTTCGTCCACTAGACAGATAAATATGAAAAGGTTGAAAGGCTGTGCGAGTCACAGCTAAACTTGTAGCAAATATTTCATTGAGGTAGTTCTTTTAAAAGTGTGCTGTTAAAGACAAATACTTTTAAAGATAAAACCGTGATTACACAAGACAACTGCCATAGTCAATCTGCTATATTGATTTTGATACCATGCGTTGCTAAGGGGCAGCACAAGACCCTAGAGTGGGCCTTTAAGGGCACGAAAAGGTCAGTGAGAAGGAATCTGTAAGCCTCTACCATGTTTTTTACCCTAGCGTCCAAGAGATAGAGGATATGATGCAGGAAGAATAAAGTTACCTGGCTACTCAAGTAAAATAGCTCAATCCTGGCTCATTAATATAGCCAAATTTGGTGATGCGACTTAAGGCACTAACGAGAGCTACTTCCAGGTCTGCTGTGGAAGAGCCGAACAAGAAAAAACATATATGGAAACACCCATTCACAGGTCATGGGTCTGGTGCCGTCTAATATACTGAAGATGTTCTATTTTGCACCTGCTTGCAAAATAATAAGTTAAAATGAACGATGAATCAGTTGTGTTTGTATCGGTCAGAAATAACCTTTCCCTAAACAAATTCAGCTGGACTAGCTGAATGAACATGGTTAATGTACCACAAGTCGCTGCCAGTGATAGTCTCGTGAAATCAAAGGCTATAAAATTAAATTCGACTTAATTATTGGGCTACAAATCATCAGCGAAAAGCATAAGAATCGAAACCGACTGAGAATAAACATACATATTTTAAAGAAATAATTTTCCCTAGTGTGTAAGTCACCTCAAGGGAAAAATAAGTAATGACTCAATATAAATAAATGTAATAGAGATTTCGGATAATAACTGCTCAAACAAAAGCTCAGCTCTGAGAGGTCAATCACACTGCGCGACGTAGGTACTCAAAAAAAGTGAAGTTCTAAACGCAAAACAAAGACGCCAATATTATGCCATTTAAAAATGAGACAAAATTATGATGTTTTCTTGCGAAAACAAGCAAAAATGCCAAATATTCCCCCAAATAAATAAATGATTAAGAAAAACATGAAAGCAAACTAATGACAAGACGTTATTGGAGCATAAATCTCGTCGCTTAGTTTGCAGGCGTGAAGCAAGTATTAGCCTAGCCTTTAAATGTTCCTCCAGCCAACTTACAAGATCGCTAAGACAAATGAATAGATTTGGCAAGCGTCATATTCGAATGCTTAAATTATCATTTCCATAAAAGTCAGATTGACAAAAATGCTTATCATATGAGTCTATGAAACAATTTGAGTGCACTTTCAGGCATGCAAAATAAAAGAAAGCACTGTGCTATGATATAACGAATGGTATAGACGTGAATATACATTCGATACTATCTGGGGAACGTTGGGCAAGTTTAAAGCATAATTCTGTCCATAAATTGCATTTAAAGGGGTAAGGGAGAACCCAGGTATTATAAAAGTGCAAATTACTGAACATGGCGACTATTAAATAACTTGCAATAATGAATACAGTAAAAAATATTTTCTGTTTGACTTTGAAAAAATAAAAAAGAAAAAAAGTAGTATTCAAACATGAGGAGTCAACAGGGAAAAAAGGCAAAAGAAGGGAGACTCAATGTTTGGCGCAATCAACCCCTTATTTTGATAATTTGCCCGGTATGAATCCAACTTTCATAAACCCACATAGAAAAATTCGACGGGATGAGGAACAAGAAAACAGAATAGATTGAAGTGTGCAAATCTGATTGAGCGCTGATTCCAGTGCTTGTATGTAGGCGTATGAGCAAAAGTAAAATAAAAAGGCAGAAGAGGAGGTAAAAGGAAGAGAGGGAATACGATATGACAAATATGAACAGGAAATCGGGGCTAATAGATGACTAAAAAAGAAAGGCATCTGTTAATAAAATGCAGAGTATTTTTTTCAGGAAGTATGAGATAGGGGATGATTCTAAAACAAGAATGAGAGGGAAAATGGAGAAAAAACAGAGGAAACAGTTTAAAAATCATGTGAAATAATACGAATTAAAGAGACGGCAAATTAGAACATTTCATCATTCTCACACGCCGAGGTTGGATGATCATCGAAGACGCCACAGTTCTCACAGTAGATCCTGGCTTGAACGGTCTCTGCGATCACAACTGCATCTTCAGTTGTCTTTTGACCATTCTCAGTCATCAATGACGCCGCCACAGCTGTTTTCGCTTTCCTAAGCATAGCTGGCTCCGAATAGCAGTCTTTGGTGTCGTGAGAATCGAATACGCCACAAAAGTCGCACCAAAGTCTAGGAGGTTGAGGAGCTCGATTTACACGCCCGTTTTCAGTTCCAGAGCTTCGTCAATAAAGTTGGTTTGTGGTTAATATGGAGGGTCATATAGAGCAGTTGGTAAAGTTGAATGCGGATGGGTTTTAAAAGGTAGAGAGAGGTCAAAACGTCATTTAAGTGACTTTTTATGAATATTCGTAGACCTAACTTTCATTTCGAGTGAAAATATATGGTAAGGAGATTCGAAGGTGGATCCAAACAGAATACGACGGCATATTCCTCTTGGTTAGTTCTTCGTCGGCCTTGCTGGAACATGACTGTTGACGCCGTCTCAGAGGCAATTAATTTCGATTCCATTAAAAACTTAATAAGTCTGTCTGTCACGGACATTAACAGACCAAGGTATCGTTCTTACGGCCATAGTCAAACTAACGAGTCAATAAAACGTATAGGCTTATGAATCTTAGGGCATTTGTATATAGGCATTCATGCATACGTAACGTTACTCATCCAGAGTTGACAGCTCCAAGTAATTGGTACAGAGCATAAGCCCTGTCCTCGGTGAGTTTCCTTGACTCATTACAATAAAATCATACTGAGAATAATAACATGTTGTGATGATATCAACCAGATGGGAGACAGAGGCAGCGTGTATGAGAATGCTTCAGCAAAGCCAAGCAAGAGCCGGTCAAGAGGAACAAAGAGGTGGGACCAACCTTCGAGGTTCTTCACTACACACTATAAGTCAAACTAGAATTGAACTTGACATCAGTAAATTAATATATTTCTAAAAACCTAATTTATCTGCATATAAATGTTATTCTTATTTTGGATGGCTGATGTGATAATAAAATTTAGTAGCCATGCTTAAAAAACTGATCAAGGGCATAGGGTGAAGTGGCTATTTTAAGTCATATGCCAATCTAGAAGACTATTTGCGTGTATG